ATGTGAAAAGTGGTGAATAAGTACCAAGTGTACAAGATAAAAACTGTCAATGTTGTGTGCTACGCGATCTGTACATAATTACAGATGGTTGTATATCTCTTTGGTAAACTGTCCAGTCAGTCAGTCAGTCAGTCATGTCCACCCCCCCCCCTTCCCCCATCCTAATATCATCAAACAATCTCTATATAATACAGTTCTCATAAAAAGGATAAAGAATATTTTATTTACAGTAAAACCTGCTAAAATCATTGATATAGAGAAATAGAAATATCTGACAGACTCTTACAGTGCAGGCACTTATACCACAAAAGTTATGAAGATGTAAACAGAAGTAGATTTCAGAAACGAACAGGAAGACTAGCACAAAACAAAAGCATGCAGGCAAGTCTGTTCATGGTCAAAAACTGATTTTTCTCATCTAAGAGTGTCCGTCTTAAAGCACCACAATCGTGCAATGAGATCATTCAAATTTTGAGTAAGCAACATGTTGCATGGGACCTCCGATATAAAAAAACTGTGATCAATTGAAGAGTGCTTTAATTTTAATAAGGAAACAACTTGATCCACTTCCTGCCCAACCTGCATATCTGTATTCCATAACAGAACAAAAATATTGTATTTTTACTAGACAAGCATAGCTCTTCATGGCTAGTATTCAAGGTCAGTGGCAATCATTATGGTCGACCTTCATCAGTTTCATTAGTGATTAGATATTTCAGGTCAATATTCCTTGTAAACAAATACCGGTAAAATAAAAGAACGAAGACAAAAACTGTTTGTAAATTAATGTGCGAGATAAAAATGTTTTTATCCTGTTATTTTTTTTAAAAATAATCCCCCCCCCCCAGTCAATTTTGATTATTTTCTTTTGTGATCACCTTCGGAAGTTCATTACAGTATCTCTCATTGGTTAGAGAACTCATAAAATCAAGTAATGTTAGCTCATTAGCCAATAAAATTATCTGTTACATGTACAACTAACGCACTAAATTCAACATTGTTTTTTCCTCAACAACTTTTATATAATTTACATACAAACTAAAACATGTATCAATTTCAACCCAAAACACCATGGACTGGAACACAATGTTTAACAAGTTAAGAACAATAATAATTTAACAAGGATGAAATGAGTGTGCCCTCCTAAGGCAAGCAACATAATTTGAGCTTCTGCACATGGAGGGCGCAATACAGTTAATTAACAGACTTAAACTTCATTTAAGCACAAAAAAAAATAGTTTCTTCAATAATTTTTCCACCAAAATAATAAAATTTAACTAATATAAATGTCTATATTTTAATAAAAAATTGATAACATGCAAGAAAATATTGTGCAAGGGAAAAAAAAAAATCATGAAAACTCATGATTGAAAAATTGAATTAACGAGACATCCTAGAAAACAATTCCTATAATATAATTAACTTGATGGGAAAATAATTGGAGTATAGATTTTACTAACACACAAACCTGCATACACTCAAACAGTCGTGTCATCCTTCACGTCTTGTGTCCATCTTTACAATATCTATAATATATCTCTGATGTATATACACAACATGGACTGCCTGCACCACATTCAATAAAATATATAGTTACCATGCCAACACTAAAACAACATTGAATGCTGTGTATTCTGATATTTTTTCCTGATATCTTGAATAATTGAAGAAGAAAAAACTCTTGAAACCTTTTAATAAAAACTTTCATTCTACATTTCTGAACTTCTGTAAACTTTTTAAATATTTTCAAAATCAGTTTTAGATAAACCACTGAGTAGAACGAAACACCCCTCTACCATCTTGAATTTTTTTTTAATAAAAAAAAAAAGAACAAGATGAAGACATATATAGGACTAACACATGAGAAGGTTTGTATCACTTAGTACTTGCACTCTAAGGTTGCACACGGGGAGATTATTATTTTACAAAGACTGAATTATTGATTTTGTGATCTTACCTCTCATGTGAAAGTTTTATCTTATATGTAAACGTTAACAAACTGCCAGGCAACTTTTTGGCATATTTGATTTTTTTTTTTACTGATGATGAGATGATGGGTAATATGACAGTCACATAAATCTCTAAACGGCTGCAACCTTGATGCAAGTACTAGATATTGTTTTAAATGCTGAAAAGAAAACCTCCACTCAGGACACTTCAAGTCAAAATGCAATAACCTGTGGGCAGCAAGGCACGTTACCAAAAACGCAATAAAACCACAGCAACTCCCAAAGAGATTATTGCAATAGAGAGCGAAGACGTCCTCACAAAGTGGTTCATCATCCATAGTTTGTAACTCATTAAATATAAGATCTATATTGAAACCATTGTAGACCGCTGAATATTGATGTGATTGTTATTAGGTTTTGTGGCTGGTGATTGGCTGTCATCTTCTTTTAGATCACTGCTTTGAATTTCACTCCACGTTTTCCCAAGTGCTTGTGCAAAATGCTCGTCTACTGTCCCAGTTATGCGAATGGCGTTAGAAGGTTTTGACGACCAGTACTCCTCTTTGTAGTCTTTGCCAAGACTTCTACGAAAATGCTCGTCGATAGCTGGATCACACAAGCCTGAGGAAGGAGAGAAAACAGAAATGTTTTACATAATTGTTAGATAATATTTATGCATTAAAATAGAAATATTGGTAAAAAACAGTTTTTTATAGTTTTTAAGTAATTTCCACAAAGGGGCTTTAGAAGTGACAAAATATTTCCCACATTTCTGAAGTCTGATAAATGATGCCAGCATCAGCATCTTCATAAAAGTTTAAGATTATTAATAATAACAATAAATTTAGACACATACCTGATGGACAGGTGACTTCTCTTCGATACGAGCCATTTGATGCAGTATTTAATTCATTTTTGTCTTGAACCGCACTCAACTGAAGACCGTTCTCCCTCGACTGGGGCGGAGGCGCACAGGCAATCACCGACGGCCTCATCTGTTGCGAGTTGGTTGTCACAGTAACAGATAAATGGTTGTTATTGGCAACTGATGAGTCTATCCTGTTTTCGGGATCCAATAATGTCGTCATGTTCGGCAAATAACTGTTGTCAGAGAGCTCTTTGACTGTGGATAGCACACTGAAATATAAAAATACAAGACTTTGTATTTTCTGATAATTTGGTTATTCCATTCTTTGGGTAGAGGTGTTTTGGTTTAAAACAATGCCTTCCTGGGCTGCAAATGTCATGTCACCACTTATCCAGCAACAAACTTTCAACATCAAGATCAAGTACGTTGTGGTCATCATCATTAAAAACCCAGCCATACTTGACCACTAATAAACACACTGCTTAAAACCCAACAAAGTAAATACAGCGTTCAATGGGAAAATACCAGAAAACGTATCAACATGGACATTGCCAGCATTCTGTTCCCACGGATTGATTCAACAGATGCACTGGACAAAGCAGAACACTAGCTGCAAAACGTTTAGATATTGCAGTTCACATTACAAAGTACACCGTAGTGTTTGTGGTTCCCTAGTGCAAAGCAGTGGATTATAGCATTATAAAAATAAACTAACGGGTACTTTTACAAAGAAAATCTGCCAGCAACTAACAAGTTCATTACTTACTCCAATACTCACAAGGCTTTCAAAACTACCCCCTACTTCCCAAGCTTCCTGCGTTGCAAGCTTCGTAGCACCGCCGAAACGTTAACTTTCGTGGAGATCTCTATATAAATGTTCAGAAAATTCTCTTTAACCTAAATGTAGTAGGTTTATAAATCTTACTTTTGAGTTGCGTTCCTAGGGACGGTTTGTTTATATTAAACATCATAAACAATAATCAGAATGCGTTCTGTGTGAGTTAGCGTGTCAGAGGGTAAAACAGATGAAAGCATGGAATCATTCCAGCTGATCTTGTACATGCTCACTCAGGCAAAATGTGCATTATCTAACTGTTGCAGATGTTGGGTATTTGTACAAGACCACCCAAATGACGGATTAGCGAACTGGAAAGAGGTATGCCATTACCGAGAGCTATCTCAATGTTGGCTCCAGGCAATTTTCATCTCAAATGTCTCTCTTCTCACCGATACAAGGGCATGTACGAAATTTATAATTCAAGAAAATTTGGTGACGAATGCAATGAGAAAAAAATATGCGAAACTTGTCATAATAGCCCTGATCAGATTCCATGTCGAGAACTAAATAGATTTGTTCACAAGATGAACTGCATCTTTAGATGGGTGGGTATGACATGAATCTGAAGATGGTAAATGTTTTAATTTAATCTCAGCATAATCCAAGTAAACTGACATGTTCACATTTTTTTTTTATAAGAAACAGGAGTATCTATGTTACATCTGATTACTGAAACAAAGTGAAGTTAAGAATTGATAATATACACTAACCATCCCTCCAGTGTACCAAAATCTATTGGGGGAAAACAAACTACCCAATCCAGTGGTATCCTAAGGGGTCTCTCACACTTATTTAGAAGAAGCTGAAGGACCCTAATCTCCCTCCCCAGCAAATGATAAATCAAGAAATGTGTGGAATTACCAATAAAATAATACTTAATAGACTGAAGACAGTGGAATATTTCACAACTGGAACTTGTCTGACTTGGGCATTCGGTTTAACATGTCTTTGGGATATTCTTTAGTGCTCTGTTGACATTATGCTGCCAATTACAAACACTAGCAGAGTGCAGACCCCAGTGTTCAGTCATTCATGCAGGGTCACTGGTAAACCATTAGAGACATGCAACTAAGTGTTCCTCAGGTAATTTCCATGCGAGACCATTCACTTGGAAGTCGAGGGAATTCCGTAATGATTATTTGCACATTTTTGTACACAACAAAGAAAGCATTTCACTTTTGAAAGTTCAAAGGAATGTTCCAATCACAAGATAAGATAACACAACTACTAATCAGACAGCATTAAACACTGAGTTGCACTTGCTACAATTAGAATGACTGATGTGGTGCTTGTAAAAAGGGGGCTACAATGACCAATCAGAATGACCAACACTCTATGCTTTTTTTTGGGGGGGGGGGAGGACAACCAATAAGAATGATTAACATATGGAGTACTGTCTGTATGAAATCTGTTAAATTTTTGCTGCCAGGCACTTTCCCCTGATTTTATAGCATTTTACAGGAACTAGAGTAAAAACATGCAGCCTCTCGACTGAGATAGCGCCGCTGTTAGCAATGCACATTTCAATTAAAGAACTGAAGATATCATTAGAAAATGAACAATATGTATAGTATGTATAGTAATCGGACTTGCTGTTTTCAACAAGAATTCAAAAATATCACTTTTTACCAAAAATGACATAAATATTTATCAAAATTAGATAATTGTATCATCACGAAATGAACAAATCTGAGAAAGGTCCACATGTAGTACCTATATATGTAATATCAAAGCAATTGGAGTTTTGGTTTTTAACAAGAAGTCGAAAATATCACTTTTTACCAAAAATGACAAAAATATTCACCAAAATTAGAGAATTGAGGATATCATCATGAAATGAACAAATCTAAGAGAGGTCTACCCAAGGTACATATACACCAAGTATCAAAGCATTCAGGCATTCAGGCATTCGGACGACATACAATCACTCGTATGATAAGCTCCGCTCGACAAAGTCGACAGTGGAGCTAATAAAAATTCAACAGGCCTTGCTATTTGAAAATGGCTGTAGAGTGGCAAATAGCTCTCCCAATGCACTGAGGTGAGTTATGGGCATGATTTCAAATGGCTCTCCTCAAGCTTTCGAAGCATTGAGTTGAGAAATAATTATGCTACACAGTGCGCATGTGTTTAAAAATACACGTTTTTTTACCCATAATGCATCTTTAACACACATACAAACAATGCAGCCTATTAAGATGATATTCAAGTAGTTTTGTAAGAATAAGAAGCCACTTGAAATATATATTACGATGATAAATCAGAAATGCCATACCGACTTAATACAGGCGCATAATTATCACTATTACGCAAGACAATGGTTGGTAACGGAGACGATACATAATTAATGATGAGGCACACATTTCACTGGTCAATCAGGAATCGTTGAGAGATGCACAGGATGTGTATTCCAAAAACATTTTAAAATCAGCCAAGATTGTAAATTAGTCAGTGGTAATAATTCACTGTAATGCTGGAAATCATAACGATTTTCTAAAGAAAGAGGTGTTGATGTCTCGTATACAGGACGCTGGTTGTCGTTAATGAGAAATCTTACAACATGCTGATTAATTGCATTATATTGATTGAGTTTAAGAACATCTGATTTGGTTTCAATGACAAATACACATAAAATATATTCCAATTTTCATTCTGTAAATATAAACAGAGAAAATCGTGCATATTTTAGAAGACATTTCCAGCTTATAGCTACATCAATTACGGTTTCTTTCACATCAATCATCTCGCAACTATGAAATGAATTTGACCGACATTATCAATGAAGGTCGGTGAAAGAAGTAAAAAAAAAAAACTGTGCCAGTACAAAAATGTAGAGACACAGCATGCCAAGCTGTTAACATACAGAGAAACATCAAATTCCCATTAGTCTAGCCTGGTCTCGATATTCAACACGTAAACCTCTGCCGAATCTGGTCACATTCAGTCACGGTTACTAGTCAGTAAAAATCTAGGTCAACTCATGATAGATCAAAACTGATACTCGACTGTCGAATCGACGGCTGTGAAATGGTAAATAAAATGAAAAATACTGTCACAAAATCCAATCCGTGAGAGAGCATGCTACCACATTTGATCTACTGGTAGTGACACGCTTACGTAAATTACAGAAGTGTTTCTATGGTCAAAATAAGTAATATTTCAAATAATCATAATGGTTTACATGTGCTTCCATTGGAGATGCGCTTCTATTAAAGCAAATTTGGAATACAGTTTTAATTTTGCTGAAATACAACAGTCAAAATAAAAAAAAAAATATTTTTGCCCAGCAACAATCGTGTCCCCGACCCCACTTCATCAGTGTTCTGTCCTCAGTCCTGAAGGAATTACAAGGGCAAGCAAACATATTTGTCTACATATCTTTCCAATAAATTGTCTCATTAGTGTTATCCATCAAATATGAACTCCATCTCTACTATGTAGCAGGCATCTTTATAATTCCAACCCAGTACCGAGTTGTAGGCAGTATGCAAGACTGCTGCTGTAGCAGGCATCTTTACAATTCCAACCCAGTACTGAGTTGTAGGCAGTATGCAAGACTGCTGTCGTAGCAGGCATCTTTACAATTCCAACCCAGTACTGAGTTGTAGGCAGAATGCAAGACTGCTGCCGTGCAGCTGGCAAATGTATTGGTTTAATTAATATCTAAAATCTAGTTATGATAACAAATACCCTGGATGCGATCTTTGCTTGACCTTTTCATTGTATCGCCATTTATTCAGTTCGCCGACATCAACATGAAATACATATAGGCCAAGCAAACCTTTGTTCGCAAAACAGTTGCAATGAATTTGCAATTTGTAAGCAATCAAAAACGATATCTTTATTTCTTTGTCAGTCATAAAAGATTTTGAATCTTGATTTCTCAAGCTGGATTATTATATTTCTTCTCTCCTACCTTTTATTGAATAATTTTGCATGTTTGATACCTACATGGTTTTTTTTATTGATATGCGATATGTCAGTCAAGAAAGCTAAATGTGTTTTATTATTTACTAGAATTGAATTGTTTTAAGTTTGTTAAGTCATATATAACACAATATGGTAGAAATTTATGTCACGTCATGGTTATGGCTAAGGGTTGAAAAATTCAATATTGGAAGGGGGGAACAAATACATTCTTCAAAATTATCGTCACATAAATTAACAAATCTGAGAGGGTTCCCTTTGAGTTACCTATATACTAAGTATCAAAACAAGCAGACTTGTACTTTTCAGGAAGAAGTTGAAAATGTGAAAAAAATTGGACGCGAACAGATGGACGGATGGACGACAACATTTCACAATCAGTAAATATGGCTATTTTTTGCTTTTAAAACAAAAGTTTACTTAAAGCAAACCATGGAATTTGAACAAATTCAGACACCTGGCTTGCACAAGCTGCCAATTTGAAAATATCCCAACCCCTGGTGA